TGGTTATCTTTGATGTACATTGAATTTTGCCAAATGATTTTCTGTCAAGGTGATTATATGGCTTTTTATTTATTTATTTTTAAACTTATTTTATAAATTTAAATTCAGTTTAGTTATCACATAGTGTATTATTAGTTTTCGAGTCAGAATTCAGTGATTCATAAGTTGCCTGCAACTCCCAGAGCTCACTACATCAAGTCCCCTCCCCAGTGCCCATCACCCAGTTACCCATCCCCCCACTCTCCTCTCCTCCAGCAACCCTCAGTTTGTTTCCTATAGTTAAAAGTCTCTTATGGTTTGTCTCCCTCTCTGTTTTCATCTTATTTTATTTTTCCTTACTTCCCCTGTGTTCATCTGTTTTGTTTCTTAAATTCCACATATGAGTGAAATCATGTATTTGTCTTTCTCTGACTGACTTATTTCACTTAGCGTAATACACTCTAGCTCCATCCACTTCATTGCAAATGGCAAGATTTCTTTCTTTTTGATGGCTGAGTAATATTCCATTGTATATATATGCACAACATCTTCTTTATCCATTCATCTGTTGATGGACATCTGGGTTCTTTCAATACGGCTTTTTATTTTTATATTCAGTATATTGAATTACATTGATTGATTTGAAAATGTTAAATGAAGTTTGAATTCACAGGAAAAACTTCTTTCAATTATGATGTATTATTATTTTTATATATTGCTGTATTCAATATTCTAGTATTTTTGGAGATTTTTTTCCATCTACGTTTACAAGGGATTTTGGTCTATAGCTTCTTTTTTCATAATATCTTTGTCTATTTTTGGTATTAGGATAATACTGGCCTCATAGGATGAGTTTGGAGGTGTTTTTTCCTCTCCTAATTTCTGGTAGAATTTGTGTAGAATTGATATTATTTCTTCCTTAAATAGTAGAATTTGTCTGTGACACTACCAGGTCCTGGAATTTTCTTTGTGGGAAAGTTTTTAACTACAAATTCAATTTCTTTGATTGATATAGGCCCACCCTGGATATTTATTTCTTCTGGAGTAAATTTTGGTAGTTTGTGTTTTTCAAGAATTTTGTCTGTTTCATTTAGAATGTTGAATTTTTGGACATAAAGTTGTTTGGAATATTTCCTCATTATCCTTTTAATGGATGTAAAATCAGCAGCGATGTATTGATGTTCCCTTTTTACCAGTGGTATTAATAATTCATGCCTTTTTTTTCCTTGAACAGTCTGACTAGAAATTTATCGATTGATTGATCATTTAAATAAACCATTGGCATTTTTCGTTGATTTTTTTTCCTTGTTTCTCTATTCAATTTCATTTATTTCTGCTCTTATCTTTATTATTTCTTGTTTTGTGCTTGCTCTAGGTTTAATTTGATGTTTGTTTTCAGGTTTCTTAAGGTGAATACTTCAATCATTTATTTTAGGCCCTTCTTTTTTTTGGGGGGGGGCCCTTCTTTTTTCTAGTATGAGTATTCAATGCTACAATTTTCTCTTTAAGCTGCATCCCACAAATTCTGACATGTTGCATTTTCACTTCCTTAAGTTCAAAATACTTTCTAAGTTCCTTGTGACTGACCACCTCTTTAACCCATGATTTACTTAAAAGTGGTTTTTAAAAATGTTTAGATAATTAGGGATTTTCCAGCTATCTTTGTTCCATATATATTTAATTTAATAAAGCTGCTTGAATTTGCAATTTTTAATAACTTACAAGTTTGAACATGCTTGATTTATAATAAATAGTGTTATAATATTAGGTAAATTTTTTTGCAAGCTTACTCTGAGCCAGTGACTATTGTAAATGTGTTGTGTATATGAGCTCATCCATGTTCACAGCGGTGCTCTAAGGAGGCCTTTTGTTCTCCTTTCTTTCCTCATGAGGATTTTGAGGCACATGGTGAGAAATTAGAGAATTCGAAATTCAAATCCAAGCAGGATGTTTTCGGAGCTTCAATGTCGCACAATCTCCTGGTAGTGCCCCTTCTTCCTGAATCAGGTTCTTTGCCCTTTAAAAACCATTGTATGTGTTCACTACTCTCCTGTGAATTTGTAAAAACTTTTTGTAAGTTGAAAATATTACTTTTTGGAGATTTTTAATACACCCTTGTCTGTTTATTAATAATAAAAATAAGAAAGTTTATTCATTCCCCCCAAAACAAAGACAATATTCCTCTTTGTTTCTCATATGTGTTCAAAGTATTTTTCCTGAGTTTTAAATGTGCCTTTACTCTTTTTTAACAACTAATGATCCTTTGTATATTACTCAGTAAGGCTTGCACATCTTTTTTCTTGTGATTTATTCCAATGCTTTTAGGCTTAAAAAATCTTTTGCATTGCAAAAATTGGATCAAAGTTTACCTGTATTTTCTTCCAGTTTTTTCCTTTTTCCTTTTGTTTTGTTTTGTTTTGTTTTTTTTGGGGGGGAGGGTTTCTTTTACATCATATACAATGTTTATATGTATTTAAAAATTATTTAGAATTAATTTTTCTTATGGTAGGATCTATGTTAGCTTGCCCAAATAACTATAGCTTCATCCCAGGACCATTTAGAATAGAATCTTTCTTCTCCCCCTAACAGCAGTTTTTGAGCCCTTTCTTGGGTATGGCAATAAATGACACGGTGATGAATTCACTGACTGCACCATAATAAAAAATGGCAAGAGTCATAAAAAAAGATAAGATCATAGTAAAGAAGGTATGAGTTAAAATGCATTTCAACTTATGTAACTAACCAAATAAATAGTTGGGAATGGATTTACTATTTGGTTTGAACAAGAAAATAGCAAGAAAAAGACATTAACTAAGGATGTCCTTTTTTAAAAAAAATTCACATTCAATTAATTAACATATAGTGCATTATTTAGTTTCAGATGTAGACTAAAGACGTGTTTAAGATATAAATGAAGGTATTACATTTGTAAAAAAGAAGAAATTATGAGACAAAATAGCAGAAATACTTACATATATATATATGTATATATATATATAACAGCATATAACTGTGGAAAAGAACAAATCAAGAACATTGTAACTGTGCTGAGAGCAGGTTTCACCTCGGCAACAGTGGACGCAAGAAGGCAATGGGGTAGCATCTTTAAAATGCTAGAAGGAAAATACCTGTCAATCTATAACTCCTATTCCAAAGTAAGGAGAAAATAAAGACAGTTCCAAACATAAGAAGAAATTAATACCCAGTGGCTCCCAATAAAAGAACTATAAAAGATATACTTAAGCCAAAAGAAAATAGGTTTCAGGATATAAAAAGTAAGAATTAACCCCAAAACTGATATAATATTTGAACAAATTTAATGATCTATTGATGGTAAACTTGACTATTTTTGTGCTTTTTTTTAAGATTTTTTAATTTATTTTTTGAAGAGAGAGAGAGACAGTGAGAGAGGCAACACAAGCAGGGGGAGTGGGAGAGGGAGAAGCAGGCTTCCCGCGGAGCAGGGAGCCTGATGTGGGGCTCGATCCCAGGACCCTGGGACCATGACCTGAGCCAAAGGCAGATGACTGAGCCACCCAGACGCCCCTTTGTGCTACTTTTTAAAGGTGAAAGTAAAACGCTGCCCAAATGTAACAATACGGAACTGGAAAAGATGCTCACTAATGAGTCCAAGATGACGGAATTCTTTGTTTCTGTTGAATTCAAAATACGGGATGCCTTTTGGGTTTGTAGGTGATGTGAATAATTAAGGATGCATGCTAAAATCTCAAAGTTAGAACTAAATAATAAAAAAGTCAAAATGTCCCAGAAATAGAAGGGAAAGAAAGAGAATGTAAAATTCTTATCAATACAAAGAAGGCAGACAACAACAGGAAGAAATGCAAAGGGTGTAATAGCTCTGTCTGCCCTCATGTCTGCAGGTATGGGAGATGGCTTGCTTTCTGGGGTCTTGGGAGCCGGATATGGGAGAATATTTGAGGACATGCTACAAAACTGTAATTCTTCTTGCTGCCAGTATCTCAAAAAGACTTAATAAAGCAGCACATTTTCCATCCACCCCAGCTGACCAGCCAGGGTAGGGGAATTCCAGTAAACTAGGTAACCCCCTAATTGCCCAATGTCTGCTTTTTAAAAGACCCATTTTTAAGCTGCTAGTTAGGAAGTCATTCCGACTGTAGAACAAGGACATCACTTATGTTCCTTCTGTGTTTACCATAGCGATTCTCAATGGTTAACAATTTTGCCATTGACAGGTACCGTTTATTTTTATATTTCCCTGCCTTCTGAATTAATGATCCCACCGTAACACCAGCCAAACATTTTTGAGTGTGGTATTATAAAAATTACACATATTCAACTTTATCCTATTTTTTTTAATCTGAGAAATTTTCAACGCACTTCAGGATAACTAGAGATGTGTAACTCATAGTTTTTACAGAGTTTTGGGCACTGCTTAGTGTAAACATTCGGTTGACCCCGGTAATTGGGCAGAGTGCTCTCTGGACCTTGTTCCTCATGAATCTCTGGAAATTGGGAGCAACTTTAACAGGGAGAGGAAAGAAAGTCACAGGTGTCCCCCAGTCACTGTGTTCCCCTCTAGTTTTATGTCCATCCTTTGGGTGGAAGAATTCAAAATGCAGGGCAGACATAAAAAGACACTGAAGACCCAATTCAGGTCTGAAGGGAGGACTTTACTATCAGGGGCAGACAGTAGGACTATGTCCCTGTTTGTCTATAAGATGCTGGTGTAGAACGAGCATATTTTTAAAGGGTGGAAGTTGACATCTTAACTGCAGCATAGCGCAGATAAGCAAGGAATATTTACTGAGTGACCAAGTGGAGATTTTTATTACTGACTAATGGACTTTATTGATATCAGGTTATGTGACCGGGTCTCAATCCTGATAAAGGAGTTTGCTGGGGTTTGTCAGAGATATGGACATAATCTTTTCCAACGTAATTGTTCTGGAAAGAGATTTCCACACCTTAAAGCTAATATAAAGGGTAGAAGTTGCATCAGCAGCCTCACTTGCTCTAGCACCTTCTTCCCAGCAGGCAAAATGAAAATCCTCGTGAGTATTTGTTTATGCGTCTTTATACTCTTGTGGTGGTTCTTGCGAGGAATGTTCAAATCCAGTATGCCTTGGAATTCAGAACTCTTAGATGAACACTGTGCATGCTTCTAAGCTTCTGTGCTTGAATTAAATAATGTCTTTGGCAAGGATAGCGTTAAACATGAAGTCGGATATTTACTGTTCCATTGTCTATTTTCTGAGACATGTGCTAAGAAATGCGAAGGAAACATTTTGGAAATATCTAGAGAATTTTAATTTGGAGAATTTTTAATAATAATTCCTTATTGTTATGAGCTTGGGAAGGAATGCAGGCATTTTGGGACAACTGCATTTACTGTTTAAAAGAGAAGGGGCAATTTTTTGAAAAAGGTAACAGCAGCTGTCATTTCCTAAGTGCAAATGAGATTCTATACTAAACATAAATAGGTAACAGCAGCTGTCATTTCCTAAGTGCAAATGAGATTCTATACTGAACATAAATACTTTGATTTAGTCACTTCAACAACTCTGAGCTGCATAGCGTTACCCCCATCCTACAGGTGAGGAGACTGAGACACAGAGGGATGCGATTTTCCCACGCCAGTAAGTACGAGTTGCAGACTTGCACTGTACCCATCTCCCGCCCCACTGGCGGGAGCAGTCGCGGCCCAGCGTCCCCGCCGCGCCGTTCCTCCTCCTGCCGATCCCAGTCCTGACCCCAGTCTGCCCTTGCCCCACACTGCAGTGCGCCCTGAACAGAGGTCTATACTTTGACCCAGAATGGAACTCCTTCCCCCAGTGATCTATCCTTTATTCTCATTTAGCTGTTGAGGGAGAAAACAAAACAATACGTTCCTCCCCATCGGGTGTTCAAGGCTGTTGGCTTCAAGAGTTCCATCTCCGAGGGGGGGTCTCTTGATTTTCCAAGAGGAGAACCGTTGCTGAAGCATAAACGTGTAACCTGGGTGTATTACTCATGGTGTTGGGTGGGCGGTTATTTGGGGGCCAGGGACACTTCCTGAGCTCTCTCTGATTATATCACTATGGTAGTCGGTCCTCCACCCATCTGTTCAAACCTCTGTATTAGAACCATTAAACAGAATAGAGAGGAGTGTCAGAGGTTACAAGAGCTGGCCTGGAGTCAGAGAAGGCCTGTGGCTGGGCAAGGGGGCAGGTTGGAGATCGCAAACGGGTCTTTGTCAGACACTCCACCCCCAGTCATCAGAAGAGAAATGTTATTGGTGATCGTTAGGAAAGTCGAAAAATCCTCCTGGCAAGTCTTAAAAATATCTGCCTTCCTGCAGACTCCCTCCATGAGCGGTTTGCAATGACAGTGCCATACACGGTGGTGTTCAGAAAAGAGAACACAAAACTGGGATCAACCTGTTGGATAAGACTCTTCACCCAACTGCAGCAAAATGGCAGAACTGCATCAACGTCAGCCTCATGGCCCGTCAGCCTATCATTTGTCTGACGGCATCACTAAGGAGAATATAGAGGCTCTCCTTGATGTCAGCCTCGAAAGTTAGCCATGCCTCCAAGCATCCTATTTTCATAGTTTCCCTTGGGGATCCATTGTCTTTCCATCACCATGAATCCATTTTAAATCTGTTTTACCCTCTCAAAGAATTAAGTACATTTTTTTTTTTTAAAACCATAAAACACAACTTCAGTCCTGTAATCCAAATCCACTGTGAGTCACACCAGGGTGTTCTCAGAGTAAAATGAGTTCTTCCTCACAGTTCACCTGCTCCAAGTTGTTTCTGGCATAAGAACACATGCTGCCTGGGAGATTATGATGTTGGGAAGGGTTGGGAATGGGGCATAAAGGTAGAACCTGGTGTCTGACAAATAGCATAAAGTCAATAAATACCTGTCAAATGAGGGAAGGTGTGTTTCACATCTTGGAAATGCACTGTTGACCACCCATGACCACCCTCCTGTGTCTCTAGGTGTATATTTTCTGAGATACTTGTACTTGTCCTGTTCAATGCCTCCTTAAGCCCCCTCTCTCAATGACTGCCCTAAAGAGAATAGATGAAACTGGTCTGTTTTTCAGGTGGTATTTCTGGTGCTGGTCATCTTTGGGACACAATCTCACGGATACGAGGTAAGTTGGTTCACTATGGACTTTACACCTTGGAGTTATTGGGAGGAGGAAAGGAAGATACAAGAACATCTATCTGGAGGACCGCAGAGAGCCCATATGCCCTATTTGGGATGGAATCCCAGAAATAACCAATAATGGAAATGATAACGTTGGTTATTTCTTTCCAAATGCAATGCCTCAAAAAATGCAACCCATTGCTTTAAAATGCGGTCAATTTCATTTCTCCTGTGATGTCATTGGTTCTCCCATATATAATATAGTAAACCATGAAGAAGAGCTTCATATTCTTACTTTAGCATGGGTTTTCGGTCTGGGATGCCAGTGAGGTTTCAGACTTCAGTCTCTTGTTCATAGCAAGTGGAGGGCTTTATTTTGTCAGGAGGGTTGCTTTTCTAGTTCATATGACTTATGGAAAAACATTATGTCTTTGTTGTTAATCTAGGTTTATAACATCATCAGCCCAAACAACAATGGTGGCAATCTTCAGGAGACAGTGACAATTGACAATCAAAAGAATATTGCCATCGTTAACATTCATGCAGGATCATGCTCCTCTACCACGATTTTTGACTATAAACATGTAAGCAGAAAGGGAATTTTTATATTCTTCAAGACTGGGCTTGTAAAGGGTGAAGGGGCAGCCATTTACTAGGCATTTGAATTCTAAGAGCTATCCTTGCAATTCTTTCAGAATTTCCTTACTTTCGTTTTTCCTTTTTAAAAGATTTTATTTATTTATTTATTTATTTATTTATTTATTTATTTATTTATTTATTTAAGGGAGAAAGAGAGAGAGCCTATGTGCGCTTGAGGAGGGGGAGGGGAAAAGGGAGAGGGAGAGTGAGAATGTCAAGCAGACTCCCTGCTGAGCTCAGAGGCCAACTGGGGGCTTGATCTCATGACCCTGAGATCATGACCTGAGCTGAAAGCAAGAGTCAGATACTTAACCGACTAAGCCACCCAGGCTTCCCCAAATAAAACCATTCCAAAAAAAAAAAAAAAATGTGACAGGAAACATACACATCTGCTTGATCGTTTCAGGTGGCAACTGGAAGCATCATGATAATTGTCTCACTACAGGCTCAGGAAGTGACTAGAAGAGCAGACCAAAACCAGAACATGGCCTGGCACACAGGCTCTCAAAAATATTCGCTGAATAAATAAATGAATGAATTAGGGCTTCTAATACAAAAACTCATGCAGAAAAAGAGCAATTATGGAATAAACAATCACAGAATAGCAGAAATCCAGAACAACTATACCCATTTAACTATATAAGTAGGATACGCAGTAAATCATACTTCTTCTGGAAGAAGGAAAGTATGTTAACCCAAAACTCCAAACTATTTCCAAGTTTCAGTTACTGGTATTAACAATAAGTCTCAGAAACCTGCTCAGAAAAGTTATTTGGTCCTTTATCCATTTATTTGTTTGTTTTCCATTTGTTCCACCTGATTAGGAGCCTGCTTTTACTGTGGGACAGAGCCATGCTTGTGGATATAAGTAGGTTGTAGTCCATCTCACTGGACATTTGAACACGCTTTCCGTCTCCTTTTCTTGTAGGGACCTCCTCACATGCCTCCTCCCCATCGGCATTGGGAGTTCTAGGACAGGTTTGAAAGCATAGAATCTTTGAAAGATACAGTTTTAAAGGGAGTTGTACTGAAATTGTTTTTTAAAGCAGATTTCAGAGAAATCCCCCAAGTGTCTTTAAAAAAAACCCAGAGTGGTGAGGACTTGGTTTAAGCCCCTTCCACTGCCGTCAGGCTTTTTGCCTCAGGCTATTTCTGAATTTTAGGAACTGGCAATTTGTGAGATTTGAAAAACAGGAACTAGAAGAGGGTTTGTATGACATACAGCCTCACAGACTGTATAATTGTTTGGAACTCTGTAGAGAAAATTCCATTCGGGATGCAGGTTAGGTGGCCTCCCGTTCCGTCTGGTTCCATGGGCCTCACCCACCATTGCTGTTTTGATCCCACCTTCCTCCAGCCCAGCCCCGTCCAGCCAGGTTGGGTTTGAGGTGGAGAAAGGGTGGAGAGACGATGGTAAAGGAGAGAAGAATCGATGAAGCGTGGGTGTGGGTGTTGGCGGCGCAGATGAGTGTAGGATGTGAAGGACAGTTTCTCAAACAGCCCTGTCCACTAGAAATCTCTACAATGGTGGAAATGCTCTCTATCTGTGTTTTCCAACAGAGAAGCTACTGGCCGCTTGTGGCTACTGAGCACGTGAATTGTGTGACAGAGGAAGTACGTTTTAAATTTTACTTAATATGAATTTAAATTTAAATAGCACATGTGGCTAGTGATGAACGTATTGGAAAGCACAGTTCTAAAGAATATTGTATTTACCCCAAATTGAGGAAAAGGCAAAACGAAACCAATAGAAAGAGACCAACAGCTGCTGCTTCTTACTTGTTCAAACCCCACACTACAGTTCCTGATTGCAAAACATGAAAAGTGGGGCACAAATCACGGGTTTGTACAATTTTAGAGATAGAAACAACAAACCACAAGTAAAACTGTGATGTAAAAGAAGGTGAATGGATAGAAGGCATGGCAAATTGAAAAGCGGTCACAGGCACTCTCTGTGCGTGCTCGAGGCTTTCCTCAAGGCTCAAACGTTCTCCTCACCAGTTCTGAACCCAGGGAGCCAGGCAGGCCAGTAACTGTGCTCTTGCTGCCTCAGGGCTACATCGCTTCCCGGGTGCTCTCCCGAAGAGCCTGCTACATCCTGAAGATGGACCATAAGGCCATCCCCGCTCTGGATGAACTAAAACGATACATCTATGAGAAACAGGTGATTCTGCAGTACCCTTTCCCATTCCCTGTTCCTTTGCCCAGGAAAACTGGTGTCTACAGAGGAAAGAAGAGGGTAAGGGGGAAGACCATAATATTCTATCTTACGGTGGATATGTACTCTCTACCCGTTAAAGTGTTTTCTCCGTTATTGGTTTTGGGACAGGAGTACATGAGTACATCGCTTCGCTTGATTTCTACCGTTTAGCCCCCAACCCAAGAACTTATAATAAATTCCACTGTTTTTCTGGAAAGGACTGAGAAGCAGGGCTCTCGGAAATAGGGACTGGCAGAAAAATGAGCGAAGTTATAATAGTCCACAACACAAAGGTGCAAAGAAACAATATGGGCTAGCGAGCATAAACAAACCCTGCATGAGGCTTGGAACCGGGTGTTTCATTCTCCCCCTGTAACTTCCCATCTGTGCCGCCTCCGCCATGGGATTCACCCTCCCTGGGTTTCACTGTTACCAGCAGTGAAATAACATTGGTAATTACGAGGCTTCCCTGCAGACCAAGTGCTCAGAAGGACATGGTGTCTTGAGATTCCTGACGGCCTTCTGCTTAATAATATGAAAAAGAAAAAGCAGTTTAGGATAAGGGACATCAAGTTATGTCAGTCTACTTTATCCTATCCCCCTCTCTTCTACTGCTCTAGGCTATGAAGAACATGTACTCTGACAAATACTTCTGGGTCAAGTACAACCCACTGCAGTCTCTGATCGTGCACATAGACTGGTTCCTGTTCGGCTCACCCATCAGGCAGCTCTGCAGTCATGTTCCCCTGTACAAGGGGGAAGTGGTTGACAAGATAAGTGAGTACCAAGAAATTATTCCTTCACCAAATGTCTTCTGAAAGCTCCCCTGTGTGGGGCACTCTGCTCGGGGTTGTGCAAAATACAGGTAGACATGAAACACGACTCATTTCAGTTAACTTCGGGAACTAAATATCTACCATGGGTGGAAATCATGCTAAACGTGAGGGAGATACAGAAATGAGTGAAACTCTCCTGTGAAGTCTGGTGAAGTTGATGGGTTAACACGGAGGATGAAATTTTAGGATGTCCTAGGTGCCAAGGAAAAACGATTGGATTTCCTACTGTTCCTTGTGCTGACGGGTGCTAATAATACAGTATTGTATACTTGAAAGTTGTGGAGAGGAGATCCTTAGCATTCTTACCACGCACACACACAAAAGAATTACCCATGTTAACTGCGTGAGGTTATGGATGTGTTCTCTTGATCTTGGTAATCGTTCTACAACGTGTATGTATATCAAGTCATCACAGTGTACACTTGAAATATATGCAGATCCATTTGTCAATTATTCTTCCAGAAAGTTTAAAAAACTATTTTCAGAATCTAGGATAGAATGAGTCTAAGGAAGAGCAAGCAAAGTGCACTGATCCGCAGGGAATAAAGTCCTGAGTCATCCAGCTAACATATATCACTGCAGTCGTTACTAGTATTTTTATACAAAGTTTCCAAACATGGGAGAGTGGCCAGAGGGAAAGAGGGGCCAGGCCACAGAGGGCGAATGCAAGATAAATCCCCCCGAGTAGTGGAAGGTAAGATACAAGAGAAAATAATGAGCATTTATCACACTGTTACTGTCTAGAAAAAACAATTTAAGATATTTTTCTTTTAGTAGGGTCATTAGTACTTACGAATAAAAGCACATTATGCAGCCATCAAAAAACCCGAAATCTTGCCGTTTGCAATGACGTGGCTGGAACTGGAGGGTGTTATGCTGAGTGAAATAAGTCAATCAGAGAAAGACATGTATCATATGACCTCACTGATATGAGCAATTCTTAATCTCAGGAAACAAACTGAGGGTTGCTGGAGTGGTGGGGGGTGGGAGGGATGGGGTGGCTGGGTGATAGACATTGGGGAGGGTATGTGCTATGGTGAGCGCTGTGAATTGTGCAAGACTGTGGAATCACAGATCTGTACCTCTGAAACAAATAATGCATTATATGTTAAAAAAAAAAAAAAGAAGATAGTAGGAAGGGAAAAATGAAGGCGGGGAAATCGGAGAGGGAGACAAACCATGAGAGACTATGGACTCTGAGAAACAAACTGAGGGTTCTAGAGGGGAGGGGGGTGGGGGGATGGGTTAGCCTGGTGATGGGTATTAAGGAGGGCATGCTCTGCATGGAGCACTGGGTGTTATACGCAAACAATGAATCAGGGAACACTACATCAAAAACTAATGGTGTAATGTATGGTGATTAACATAACATAATAAAATTAAATTAAAAAAAAAAGCACACAGTCAGGTCACCAATGCAGAATGTCAGAGCATCAATCGAACAGAGTCAGACAGCACTTCTAGAAGTTGTCAGTCTTTTTTCTTTTTAATTTTATTTATTTGAGAGAGAGAGAGAGAGCATACAAGGGGGGGAGGGAGAGGGTAAAGCAGACTCCCCACTGAGCAGGGAGCCCAAGGTAAGGGAGGGCTCCATCCCAGGACCCCAAGATCATGACCTGAGCCAAAGGCAGATGCTTAACCAACTGAACCACCCAGGTGCCCCTAGGAGTTGTCAGTCTTATTTAAGCTACCATGTTATCACCCTTTGCAATACAAGGATAGCTAAAAAACTTGGGTAACATAGAATTACATGTACAACCCCTAGTCAAGACATTAACCAAAAAGCATGGGTTTGTTGCATTCTAATAATGTATTTCTCAATGCTCCTTCTTCACAAATTTGTCCCCTTTTCAGATAACGTCCGTACTGACGTCTGCTCAAGGACCGGATTCCTGGGCATCTTTGGAATCTCCATCTGCTCGGGTGTTGGCGCTTAAGCATCACCCACTGGCCTCGTCTTTTCCAAGACTCACACCCTTGGTTTCCACTCAGCAGCCAAATTAAGTTCTTTCCAAAGCCCCAACTAATGTTGAGACTCAGGGGTAAAACATAAATCCTGTATCTACAGATCTCTGGGTGTTTGCTTTTTTTGTAAACAACAAAGGGAAGCCAAACAATGTTGATGTCAATATATAGAAGGAAAGAATTTGCCAGGATTTCAAGTAAAGTACATAAGGTGTGAAACTTCCCCACGTAATGAAGCTGAGTCATCACAGGGTGGTCAGCTGGGTGCAAGTGTACGTCTTGCCTCCACCAGACCAGCTGCCCACCTGTCCAACAAAACGAAGGGGATTCAGAGGACCCTTATCGTGATGAGCACTGAGAAATGTGTAGAATTGTTGAATCATTAGGTTGTACTCCTGAAGCTAATATAACACTGTATGTTAATTATACTTGAATAAGAAAGTAATAAAATAAATTCTAATTAAAAATAAAACAAAAACAACCACCTGCGCATTCTGGGCGGAGCCGGCAGTGGCCTCCCCCTGCTGAGGTGTGGTGTCCCCGTAGCAAACAACTTGACTGCTCAGGTGATGGGTACTATCTCCTTTGACAAGGCACCGAACTTGGAGGGCCGGTCACATGCCATTTAGAAAATGCCCTTTAGGGGCACCTGGGTGGCTCAGTGGTTAAGTGCTTGCCTTTGACTCAGGTCATGATCCCAGGGACCTGGGATTGAGCCCCGCTTCGGGCTCCCTGCTCTGTGGGGAGCCTGCTTCTCCCTCTTAAACTCCCCCTGCTTGTGTTCTGTCTCTCTCTGTCAAATAAATAAATAAAAGCTTAAAAAAAAAGAAAATGCCTTTTAGCTCATCAAAGCACTAGTTTCAACCTTAATAAATACTATTATAATATATTTTGTCCTGGAGTGAGGGGAGAGGTTGTGGGGAACACCCATCACCCAGAGAAAGATGAACCTTACTGAAAAATCTTGACAGGAGTGAGAAACTAACCGGGAGCGCCAAGCCAATATATAAAAGGAAAGCCATTTCCAATATTCCAAATAAATTGCGTAATGTGGGCACATTTCCAGATCATACAGCTGGTTCTCCTATGGACCAGTCAGCTGGGAGCAAGTTCAGAACATAGAGGAATGTCTTTAACAAGAATTTCTGTTATCAACTGCTCTTATTCCTAACACTGTGCATCTACTTCATAATAACCATTAATAAATATATTTAAAACACTTAACCATGTGCTCAGCACTGGGACAGGTATGCTGGCAAAACTACCCTTGTCAAGGAAATTATGTTTTTGTTGGGGACGTGAGACATTTACATGAAAACATTTGCTAGCATGGTAAAGAGCGTATAATAACATGCCAAACGAATAATAGAAGGTACTAGCTGAGACCTTGGTGTTTGTGTGATAGAACTCAAAATCAAATTAACTGAGGCAAGGAGGGTGGAATTTACTATCTCATCTTGCTGTAGAAAGATGGGGATATTCTGGTCTCCGGTGGCTAGACCTAGGTGCACAAAGGTGGCCAGACTCTTGTCCCACTCTGGACTCTCCTCTCCATGTGTCAGCTTCAGAATCTTATGTCATCTTTCTCCGGGAGGATGGAAACACCACCACTGTGAGCCCCAAGGTCCCCATTTTCTCAGCATCATTGTCAGAGAGGAAGGGACTCCTCTTCCTTCTAATTTCAATTAGTTTTAATTTACAAATCTTTGGAAAGGCACCAGATTGAATCACCTGTGGCACATTCTTACTCCCCGTGGCCAAGACTTGTGGGGGTGTGTTGGGTGGAGGAAGCGTTATGATTGGCAACCTCCTTTGGAATTTACTGCTTAAATTTTTTCTTTTTTAAGATTTTTATTTATTTATTTGAGAGAGAGAACAAGAGAGAGGGGAGGGTCAGAGGGAGAAGCAGACCCCCGCGGAGCAGGAAGCCCGATGTGGGACGCGATCCCGGGACTCCAGGAGCATGACCTGAGCCGAAGGCAGTCGCTTAACCAACTGAGCCACCCAGGCGCCCTGGAATTTACTGCTTAGAGCTGTATTATCCTCATTAATTTTTACAACGTTAGTCCCTTTTTTAAAGCGGAACTTTGAGTTCTGCTTTTTCCTGACTCTGCTTTATCATTAAGTCGGTTAACCCAGCTCAGTGCTGGTTAAGGCTGAATACCTGTTAGGGGCAGCAGGTGGAGTGGGCCAGCATACGCGTAAAAGGAATGTGTCCACATGGAAGTTATGAGGGAGCTGGGGCCCCATTAAACCTTCTTCAGAAGGAGCTCCTTCTTCAGAGCTGGGGAGGGAAGATATCAACTGTTTCCATTTTTGTACGCCTTGAGATATTTTCTAATTTTCCTTTGACGTCTGTTTGACCTGATTGTTAGTCAAGAATGTGTTGTTTAATTTCCATGTACTTGCGAGTTTTCCTGTCTTTCTTTTGTTAGTGATTTCTAGTTTCGATCCACTGTGGTTGGAAAAGATACTTGGAATGATTTGTAAATTTGTTAAGACTTGTTTTATAGCCTAATATATGATCCCTCTTGGAGAATGTTCCATGTGAGCTTGAGAAGAATCTGTATTCTGTTGATGTTGGATGGAGTGTTCTGTATAGGTCTGTGAGGTCCATTTCGTTTATAGTGTTATTCAAGTCTGCTTTCATCTTAATTGATTTTCTGTCTGGATGATCTAGCCATTATTGAAAGCAGGGTTATCAAAGTTTCCTGCTATTTTTGTGCTGCTGTCCATTTCTCTCTTCAGATCTCCCCTGGTTTATATTTTATATTTAGGTTCTCTGATGTTGAGTGCACATATATTTATAATTGTTATATCCTCCTGGTGAATTGACCCTTTTATCATTATGTAATGACCTTCTTTTCTCTTGTGACAGTTTTTGACGAAAAGTCTACTTTGTCTGATGTAAATACAGCCACCTCTACTCTATTTTAGGTGCAATTTGCATGGAATATTTTTGTCCATCCCTACATTTTCAGCTTATGTGTGCCCTTAAATCTAAAGCGAGTCTCTTTTGGACAACATATAGTTGGATTTTTTTTGGATCCACTTATCTACCCTGTATTTTTTTTTTTTTTATTGGGATATCAACTCTGTTAATTCATTGTATGCCCAAGCATCAACCTGCTCTAGGCCATCACGGAGGAGGCGCAAGTCTGGATCAAACAAAACAAAGCACCAAGGATGCTAGCAGAGCTGATCTGGCTACTAAAGCTGGCCTGAGGGACACGAATGTGCCAAAAGGGGTTTTGTAGGAATTGTGGTAAGGCTTGCAGTGGGGGATTTGTTCTTCACAGTAAGTGATATGTCATATAGACTCATTTGGTCATTTTGAGGTAGAACTAAATGTAATTTTTTCATTCAAAGCTCCCAGGATTCGAGTATGTGAGCCCAAGCACTTTATTATGCAAATTCTTTGCTTGGACAGCTGTTTGAATGAGTCTAAGCATCAGTTAACCCAAACATAATAAATATCAATTGGTGAGCTAACAGAAATACTGAGACTTCTAGCTTCTGATAATGATGAATTAGCCTATATCAGACTAACCTTGCTGAGAGAACAATTACAAACCTGGACGAAACATTAAAAAAATAAGTGTCTGAAGGCACTGGAGAATGACCCAAAGCAGGCCGAAACTAAAGAGAGGTAAGACCTTTGAAAGAAATGTATATCATCTATTGTTGATCAGAGTTTTCCAATATTACATGACAAAAAAAATCCACTGAGGACTCATTCCCCACTTAATCCTTATTCCCCAGCCCCCCTTTCCTGCTGACACAACCTCTTTGTTCAAGTGGCAGCTAAATGGCAGCCAGGAGGGCCAAGGTTGGGAAGGCCTGGGCTACCTCCATCTTGTTTCCCTTAAGAAGATAACGTAGCGCCGGCTTCCTGAGTCTTGTGATTGGTCTGTGGGTGGCCGTATGAACTCAGTTCTGGTCAAGGAGACCTAAGTGGGAGTTTGCTAAATGAGACTTCCAGGAAGGGTCTTTCTTTCCTGATAAAGAAGGACAGACCCAGCTGGCATGCAAGTCTGCCCTCTGCTCTCTCCTGTTATTCTTCCTTCAGCTCGGACATGACGCGGATGCCGGGAGATGCATCTGCTATTTGGGGACCATCAGGCAACAATCCTGGAGAGGAAAGGTTCAGGAAAGAGTGAGCTAGAGTGCTGGATGGCATCATTCTAGAGCAGTTCCACCTGGGACCATCATTCCCGGGATTCATCTGACACAGAGCAATGTCTGTTTGTTGGAGTTGCTGTGACTGTGTTATCTTTATTTGCAGCTAAAAGCATTCCTTACACACCTGAAAAGGCAGAATTAATCCTCTGGGCACACATGTCCCAGGCTCTGGGCCCACCCCGGCACCAGTGCCTGCACTCTGCTCCCCACCACGATTCCTTCGGAAATTCCAGGTTCACCACATCCCTGCACTCACACTGCAGACACCCGATGCCATGCACTTTTCAAAGAATGACTGAGAAAAAACTGTTACTGGGAGCCCACCATCTAGCTCTCCCTGCCTGCTTTTCCTTCTGTTAGTCCAGACCCCATCCCCAGTTGCTCCCTCAGCTCCGAAGCAACTGTGTGAGGCTGTAGCAACTCTTTTGAAAGGACTCAGGACACACCCAGGAACCGAAGCAAGTGTTTCTTGGGTTCTGGGGTCTGGGTCTACCCCATGTAAGGAGGTGAGCCCATTTCCTCAGCATGCTTCTTTTTTTTTCTTTAAATTTTTATTGTTATGTTAATCACCATACATTACATCATTAGTTTTTGATGTAGTGTTCCATGATTCATTGTTTGTGTATAACACCCAGTGCTCCACGCAGAACATGCCCTCTTTAATACCCATCACCAGGCTAATCCATCCCCCCACCCCCCTCCCCTCTAGAACCCTCAGTTTGTTTTTCAGAGTCCATAGTCTCTCATGGTTCATCTCCCCCTCCGATTTCCTCCCCTTCATTCTTCCCCT